TGATTAGCACCAGGCATATCTCTCATCAAAATACGGTGTGTCAGTCAGAGGCAAGCTTATCATGATCAAGTGTCAACACAGGTGATTTTACTATGGACAGACTTCCAAATTCCCTAAGGTAAAGAGCAGGTACACTTTCATTTGTCTGACCAAACAAAATTTTTAGGTGTATACAAGTTTCTGTTTCTCTTCCTTCTCTTTATTCTGATTGCTCGTTTTTATACTGATAAGTTTAAACAACTTTGGCACCAACAGCCATTGTTTAGCTATACATGTCTGCTTTGCAACTCAGTAACCTACTCCATATGTATCTATAATCTCTACTGAAAGGGAAGGTGAAAAGAAGACTGTTCCAGCAAGCTAAGGGGAAATTCTTTTAAGTCTTCTCTTTACCATCTATGCCATCCATGTGTCCATGCTACCACCTTTTTGTTACACGTATCTATTTATATTTACATCTTTGCATTTATTGCTCACTCTAAATTCTTATGAAATACCACAAGTGAATCCAAAATAAAAAGACCAATATTCATTTAAAATCAAATCCACCAGTTCTACATTGTTGCTCATTGTTCTTCTTCCAAAGGCAGGTATATAATTATAGCTACTTTGGTGCATGAAATGGTACAGAGATTTCTATGGTAATTACTCATTTTAATGGAAAATTGTGTAGGGAAAAACACATTTCATGTGAAGCATGACATTTGCATTTCTTTCTAAAGAGTCTAAACTTGTTCAGAGTGAGCTGTAAACTCATATTTTCCAGGAAGACAAATCTTTAAAATTCTGTCCAAGGGGTACGGTGGGAAACTGAGAACAGTTGCAGGAATTTGCTGAGCTCATTAAAAAATAAGACCATTAAACATTTACAATGGATACACAACATCCTTGAAGCTACAAGTTAGACAAAGCAGAAAAAAATACGTACAAGAAAGATCAACAAATAGACAACATGCTGAATAAGAGGGGCCATCATTGACACCAAATCCACAAGATCAAACATTTGTATTTCCAAGTACTTTAGCTAGCATAAGTTGAAATAATACATTTAATACATTTTAGAGTCCGAAAATCAGACTTGGGGAGAAGCTACTGTTTTATCTTGATTTGCTTAAAAAATAAAGTTATAACTTCTTTTCCTATAGTAGACATGATACATGTGTTCTTTTTCAGGATATCCACACCAATTTTTGTCAGCAGGAATGCGTTTAAATCCTTAAAAACATTTAAATGAAGAGAAAATCTGTGAAACTGAATGAGTTTGCACAATTCTTTCTGCTGCTGGACATCCATTTTCTTATATTCCAGTATCATGTTCATCTAAGCAAAAGAGTTTACACAGTTTTTATTTTTATTTTTTGCTAAGGTAATCTTCAGTATAATAATTAATATGAGAAGCAAACTAGGACTTGGGGAAAAAAAGGCCTTTTAATTGTTGCTCTGGCCTAACATCACTTTTCCTAAGACGTGTCCTAGAAAAGCAACAAAAGCAGAAGATAAAGAAAACATTGCGTTTCTCCTCCCTACAGACCGCTCAATTCCCATCACCACAATGAGTCAAGCACATTTTAAGCCTGTACTTAGAACAAATCACATACTTCAGGTGGTGAGGACCAGGAAATAACCACTGAATCAGTTTCATATGTAGTATATTTTCTGAAAGAAGACTCTACTCATAATTTATTATTATTATTTCAAGCTTGCATAGACTAAGGGAGAAAATGTCTCAAGTTACATATAGTCTCTGACTCTTTCATAAATATTAAATAAGTATTAAATTGCTGAAAAGGTAGGGGAGGAGGTGTTTCTTTCCAACAAAACATCCTCCTAACCAAACAAAATCTGTGCTTTAAAACATGCCTGCATGGCAGTACAAGAGGCAAAAGAATAAGTTAGGATGTAGCTTTTGGCATTAGTGTACTTGGCACTTCCATGTGTAGAACATGTAAAACAGGAAAAGAAAGAATATGACTTTTAACTTTGAAGTCAATGATTGCATCACAGTTCAGAACACAAAATTACACGATGATGACTTCAACAGTATGTGTAATCTGTTTTTAATAAAGTGGAAACTAACTGTAAATTCCTTGTCAAAAGGCACAGGGACTTGGAAGCAAACTTTCCCTCTCTCTAAACAGAGGAATCTGCTGGCATACAGTTAGCTTTATTTTCACCAGAAAATGTTTTGCAAGATAGGGAAAGCAATTTGTACGACAAAGAAGTATGAATGCCCCATCAAAAACAATCTAGCACTGGAGAGCTTTTCACTACAATTTCCTCTATTTTTGGAACCTATTTTGCCATGTCTTGACAGCTGTTAACTTCCTCTTCTACTGCTGTAGTTGGGACTTCCTTTTGAAGTCCTTCCTTTACCTGAATTCCTGCATTGTACTACAAGATTCACAACTGTTAAAGTCCAGAGCAACCAGAATAACTTTAATCTGATTTATTTTATGCATTCTTGTAAGAAAACAATTTATGCTTTCTCAAAAGAAAATAACTTATTAGAAGGTTGTAAAATTAAAGGCATGTGATTCTGATTTTGTTCAGACTATAGTAATATCTCTAATGGATATACATGGAGCTCCTCTAATGTTCTTCTTAGGTTTTCTATACAGAATTTAACCCAGCATCCTCAGGCTCCTACTCAAAAGTTTTCATGAATTTTCAGCTTGAGAAACACAGCAATTAAATAGCAGTTCTCTTAGTGCTGAAGGGAGAAGTAAGACCTTTAGTTTTGGTTAACCCTAGGAGACAGGTTTGAAAAGACTCTAGCTGAGGCTCCTTTCAATAAATTGAAACTCCTTTCAATAAATTAAATGTAATGACTGGATCTAGCAGAAAGCTGCTTTTATAGCCAATGTATGCCCGACTGAGACAAGCAGATAAAGCAAAAAAGAACAAGAAAGTTTTTACAGTTGCATTTGCCACCATTTACTGACAAAATCAAGGTTTTAGAGCTGTAAATATTTCTCATAATCTTGTATCAATAAAGCAAGTATCACTATGTAAAGGAAATATCTTTCTTGTACGCAAAGAACAGAAACAAATGCACACTCAATAAAAATACCAATGAGAAGTTCAATTCCCATTTTCAGAAATGACAGGAAGTTTTCTTTATGACACTTGGATGTACTTCTCAGTGCTCTATGTATATCCATGTTTGGAGAAGTCAAATCAAGATTTGAAAGCTTTTCCTATGTGTGAAGGACTAAACAACTGCCATTGAAGGACCTAGACTTGATCATGTTAGACCTTCTCCCGTCTCATAGATGTTCAGCAGACCCTCTACAAACAAATGATTTAAATCCTAGCATATTCCTCAACATCTTGAGACAAGTTCATTATACAGTACAGCCTTTTAGATTTACACACTTCAGCTCCTCACATTTCCAGTGGGCTACACAGATCGTGACTATGTACTTCATATTACTGCTTGCCATTCAAATTCTGCTGCTTTAATTCGTTGTATTAAAAAGTAACACAAGCTTCAATTATTCTTTGTATAATTAGAGATCTAGCTAAATTATACAGAAAATTAAATTTGTATCAAAATGCCTACACAGTTAAAACTAAACTATTTGCATTTCTCTTCCATCTTTCTCCACATCCTTTAAAATGCTGCTTAGTTATAAAAGATATAGATTTTACAAGTGTTGGTGTGCTCTACCAATAAACTAGTTCTCTCAGTTCTTAGTTTTGCAGACATTGTTAACTAATTCCAAATCACTAACAATTGAAGAAAAAATAAAGTTCTCAATTTAAGTAAAGGTTATAGGATTAGACTTATGGCACTCAAGTTCGCACCTTATAAGCCTTTCACCTTCAAGTCTACATTCAAAGGGTACTTATGATTTCAAACAAATTGCAAATCAGATGATTACACACTATAGGAAATTAGATAAAAGAGAAAGGAACCACTTCAACACTGTAAAGAGATTCTATTCAGCTATTATATTAATAGCAAAAATCCATATTTTGATTGCAGCTTCTGCAGGTATAAAATGACAGGTTTTAGACTCTGCTTTCATTCAAACGCATAGATTCACACAGCGTTTTAAGTCCTGCAGTGTGTTGTAAAGTGTTGCAATTATTTAGCAAGGCATTTGGACAGCTTTTCTTTCACTTTAAACAGATGACTAACTGCACTTCTCATGGCATGTTCAAGAATACATAGCACCTTTCAGATCAAACTCAAGGAGAGAATAAAGTATAAAATACTGTTCAACTGTTGGATGTCCATATCACTAAGATTTACACAAAATTTTTTGCATTTTTGAAGCCAAGTGATGCTTCTATTACTTGTAATTTTTGTTTAACTATCTTCATGGTATCTAATGTTATCTTTAGGTTGACATTCTTTTATGTAAAATAGAATGCTTCACATTTTCAGGTAAGGACAAACGTCTTAGAAATATATTGCATTACAGTGATAATATCCTTCTTTTTCTAAGGTATGAACACTTTCTGGTTCTTTTTCTTAAGTTAACTAAGATTAAAATATTATGCGTGTCATATTTGGAAAAGAGTACACGGAATAAAGATGGACTAACACTAACAACAAAACGAAGCTCCAGTACACCTGAATCAGGTGATTTTACGTATACATAGGTATTAATGCAAATATATACATGCAGACAAAATAATAAAATCAAGTTAAAGTTAAAATTCTTTCCTTGCCAGTCTTATAATACTCTTTAAAGATATTTTGTAACAAAGTTTTCCAAATCAGCTTGCACTAAGAATTTCATATATTATCTTCCCTTAATAACAACATAATATTTTGTACAAAAGGAAGAAATACAATGAAACATGTTTACCCATGAGAAAAACAGATTAAATAACATATTATTTCATAATTACAGCTGAAAGCACATATTCCTAGAACATATTCCTATTCTTTCAACATTACATATTCCTATTCCTACAACATTACATTACAATTGCAATTCTGTCTTAGAAAAAATGCTGCAGAACCATGAGTTCTGGAAATAATTTACCTTTCTTGTCGTCGAAGTACAGTGTCTGTTGAGCTGGATTTGACCACTGGAGGGAGGTGTTATCGTTTTGATCGACCCTGCAGGTCAAATTTGCCGTTCCCCCTTCAACAACTGTGACATTCTGTGTAAGTGGAAACTGCCCTTGGCTACCTAAGGAGGGATGGGAGGGAAGTAGAAGGGAAGAAAAGGAGGAAAAAAAAGATTTCAGTTGTAGAACTGAATTTATTGCAACAGCTACACACAGGTGACTGTGTAACAATATTCATCAAGAAGTATAATGCAAAAAACTGGAGAAAAAAATAGATAATATATTCTCTGCAGAAATGAAACAGAAAAATGAATTTAAGAAATACTGATATTATTTTTCTTTTTTTCCTGTATGTGATATGATTTAGCTTCAAAGAAGTAGCCTGCAATCTTCATTTTCTAAGACACACATACAAATCCAGATGTCCATGATATGAATCCGCATAGGGCTCACATATTGCAGACGCATACAGATGTCTCAGTAGAGATAATACTGTTAAAATGCTCCTGAAAACACCACTAAAAACATAATGTAAAATCAACATACCTTTTCTTAAACAGACAGGGTAGCCTAGATTCCCTGTTTCATTTTATGATTTTTGAAGAACTCTTGGGATGATGTTTTTTCTGTCAAGTTTGGAATATTGTTAGATAAAAACATAGTGTGAATATAATACCAGATACATCCTCTGCTGAGAGAATATAACCTGATCATATATGAAAATGGAAGCAATGATGTAGTAGTTCTCTTTCACATCTGCGAGTCTATCCCAAAGCATTACAAATCACATTAAGTGTTTGCTGAGAAGTCACTGGGAAAATTTCCAAATACCTCTATACAATATAGGAACAGTATCAGCCAGGTTCTTGAATCACAAGCATTTTCAATGGCATAGTTAGACTGAAGTGTTGCTTTGTGTATTGCAAAAATAGCACCCCTTGCCAAACAGTACATTCTGACAAGAATAGCACAAGGGAGCACAGTAAAAATGTGGGACATCTTCTTTTTTCTTTTTCATAGGGATGGGGAAAGAAAAGAAAATTATCAGAGAGGTATGCTTAATCAGTGCAAAGATACAATGAAAAAAATAGACAGTCCAATAGACTAAATCAAATACATGCTTCTTTCTTTTATACAGGACCTAATAATACAAGACATGCTCATGTTAGCTAACTATGCTAGAATAAGAAATATTACAAGATCGGCACTCAAGTGGAATGCATCAGAAGTGAAAAATCCCCTTACCGTCTTAGAGGAGTGAATATAAACATAAGTATGTTGAAAAAAACTATTGTACCTATTGTATAATAGGTACAATAACACATAAAACTATTGTCTAGTATACAGATTTTCAGGTCATTTTACAGATTTTTCAGACCATAGTAAGGAATTACTAAATAAGGGATTAACTAAACTTCTACTTGACCTGCTGATGTTGCAATAAATAAATAAATAAATAAAAATGCAGCTCTAGTAAGGTTTTGATAACTGTTCATTTTCCTACACAAAATAATTTTGTTGGCCTTATACCTGGTGTGTAAATACTGACACCATAAAAGCTCGGAGTATTCTGATAATCCAACACCCTTCATATGTAGTTTCTTTAAAAAAAAAAAAAAAAAACAAACTCTTCTACTACTGAAGTGCTTATAATCTAAATAAATAAATAAGATAAATCATCAGCAGTGCTAAGAAAGGGAATTTGAATCTCGAGGCCAGCTTTGGCTGCAGCAACCATGAAATGGAGGATTTCAAGATCCTTAGACCAGTGAGGATGACATACAGCAAGCTCACTACCCTAGACTTCAGGAGAGCTGACTTCAGCCTCTTCAGGGATCTGCTTGATAGTGTTAAATGAGATAAAGTCCTTGAGGGAAAAATGGTCCAAGAAGGCTGAGTAATATTCATGGGTCATCTCCTCCAAGCTCAAGAGCAATGCATCCCAATAAAGAGGAAGTTATGCGAAAACACTGTAAGACCTGTATCAATGAACAAGGAGCAAAAAGAAAGCCTACAGAGTTTGGAAGCAAGGACAGGCAGCCTGGGAGGAATACAGACAAATAGTCTGAGCAGCCTGTTATCAGGTTAGAAAAGCTAAAGCCCTGATTGATAGAATAAAATCTGATCAGAGACATCAAGGGTAACAAAAAAAGGCTTCTGTAAGTACATCAATGAAAAAAGGAAAGAGTGGGCCCTCTCTGTGAGACCTGGTTAGTTGGGATATGAAGAAAGCTGAGATTTTGAAGGATTTTTTGCCTGTCTTCACCACTAAGTGTCCTAGCCACATCACCCAAGTTGCAGATGGCAAAATCTGGGACTGGGACAATGAAGAATTGTCCACTACAGAAGACCAGGTTCAAGGCCAAGAAACCTGAAGGCGCATATGTTTGTGAGACCTGATGAGATGAATCCAGTCTGTCTCATCTCAGTAGATCCTCCTGGAAACGATGCTAGGAGAATATTGGTGAAAGCCAATATGGTTTCACTAAAGGCAAATTGTTCCTGACAAGTCTGGTGATGTCCTATGATGAGCTTACAGCATTGGTGGATAAGGGAAGAGTAATTGCCATCATCTACTTGGCCTTGTAGAAAGCATTTCACCCTGTCCCACAAAACATCCTTATCTGTAAACTAGAGAAACATGGACTTGATGGATGGACTACTTGATGGATAGGGAATTAGCTGGATGGTCACACATAAAGCACTGAGCTCAACAGCTCGAAGTCCAGGTGGAGACCAGTAACAGAGTATTGGAACAGATGCTATTTTATATCTTCATTGATGACATGGATGACTGGATTAAGTGCAACCTCGTCAAATTTCCACACCAAGCTGCTGGACAGAATGGAAGCCTTTCAGAGGGACCTATACAGAGGTGGGTCTTCATGTACCTCATGAAGTTCAACAAGATCAAGTGTAAGGTCCTGCCCTGGAGTTGGGGCAATCCCAGGCACAAATATAGGCTGGGTAATGAGTAGATTGAGAGCAGCTCTGAGGACTTGGGGGTGCTGCTGGTTGCTGGAAATCTCACCACGAACCAGTAATCTGCACATGCAGCTCAGAAAGCCATCTGTATCCCAAACTGCTCTAAAAGAAGCTTGTCTAGCTGGTCACAGGAATTGATTGTCCACATCTACTATGCTCTCATGAGACCCCACCTACCTACGGTACTGAGATTAGCTCTGGGACCTCCAACATAAGAAGGACATTGGATCTGTTGGATCTGCTGAGGAAAGTCTAGAGCAGGGCCATGAGGATGATCAGAGGGCTAAGGTACCTCCGCTACAAAGTCAGGCTGAGAGAGCTGGGATTATTCAAGCTGGAGAAGAGAAGGCTTTGGGGAGACTTTATAGCAACCTTCCAGTATCCATAGGAAAGAAAGAAGAACTTTATACAAGGACATGAATAGAACAGGACATTAGTACATTATTACAACTTGTGGCCATTTCCCTGGGTCCTGTTTGTTGCCTGGGAGAAGAGGCCAAACCCCTCCTCCTCATAACCTCCCTTCAGGTAGTTATAGAGAGCAATGAGGTCTCCCCTGAGCCTCCTCTTCTCCAGACTGAACAATCCCAGCTCCCTCACACACTCCTCATAAGATTTGTGCTCCAGACCCCTCACCAGTTTTGTTGCCCTTCTCTGGACCGCTCCAGGGTGTTTTGTACAAATACCATCTTCCCGTAGATGTCTAAAGTGCAAAATTTACTATTTACTTATGTTCTTGGTAAGAGGGTATTTACTATTAGCAAGACAACAAATGCAGTAAATAAAAATATGAAGTATTGCAAATACCATGTCTATATTAAATACTGCGAAAAATAAATGCGAAAATTCTCATGACATCTTCTGTGTCTGACACTTCATTAATCAAATGCTTCTTCTTGAAAACCACACACTGAGAAATGCTTGATGAGTTAAAAAATCATAAACAAGAGTGAAAAAAAAAAAACAAAAAAAAAAAACAGAAGAGATTTGTCATTTTCTTTCATTTCTTCTCTTTCAACTCCACTGTGTCAAGGAATCTCAAGATATTGCATAAATTGCTTATTGCTTAAATTAGAATTTTAAAAATCCAGAAAAAATGCACACAGCCTGTTATTTCTTCCACTAAATTATAAGATCTTACCAAAGAAATAACCTTCTAAAGTATGAGCTGCAGATAAGAGGCTATGGAGGCTAAAATAGGTTTTGCATATAAAAAGCATTAAACAGAGCCTAGTGCCAATGAAATCTGAATCAGTGACTGTGATTTACATTTGACTATCTTCTGTTCATATTTTTTAATAAAGAACTAATGTAATGATTCAGAACCCTATTCATATGATTTGGGAAATCTTCCTAGGATTATCCCACATTCTTTTTTGATATTATAGTTCCTACAGTGAACATCTCAACGTGTATGCAATCTCTTATTTACTAATTATGGTCATGTCATAGCCTTATTGATCAGAACTGTACTTAGAATGTAAAATGCTGCTTGGCCACTTAAGTGGAAACTGCAGGTCCCTGGATCTGAAAGAGGTCTAGAATTTTTTTTTTCTCTTACCCCTGTATTGAGTGCTGATGTTTTAGAAATTAATCAAATAAAATTAACAGAGCATACAAAAGTCAAAGGAAAGAATTCCCCCTATCCCTTATCAATACAGAAAATGCATATAGTTTGATTGGAAGCCTGCAGTGAAATAAGAGATATAAAGAAAATGAGCCAATAATTTTGGAAATTAGCTTAAGAGGAAGAAAGGAAGACTGTATGCAAGATAGAAAAATAGAAAAAGCAAGAGCAAAAGAATCAGTACATATCTTAAACAAGAACAAAACTTCTAGTAAATTACGGAAAACTAAGAAAAAAACATTTAGATTAACTTTTTTGCTTATACCAGCTTCTCACTTGAGTTACTGAAGGACATCTGAGACAAGAGAAAAGGTTTATAAAAGCCCAGAAGCAGATAAATAAATGCTATAGAAAGCATGAGGCCATTTAAAATAGTATTAAATGTGGCTTTTATGCCACTGAGCTCTGGTCCTTGTAGGAGAAGTCTCATTTCTGTTAAGCAGGTAGTATGTGCTCACAAAGCACAGAAGAGAAGCTGCCAGCCCTCAGCATGACCATTTACAGCAATACCTTTTACCATCATTGAAGCATACAAGGTTTTCCCAGCTATCTCTAAGTACCATCATCCAGCAATGGGGGCAGCAGCTTCTGCACCAGTACATTAACTCATGGCTGGAGGCTATCAACTGGAATCAGAATATCATTTCCAATGGGACTTGCCTAGGATATCTTGTTACCATTGCAAAAAAACAAACAAACAAAAAAACACTCATATCCTGTAGAACTGAGTATGATAGTTCTGACCCATACAGATAGTCCCATTAAATCAAGAGTGGTTAGTGGTGAGCTTTCAGGAAGAAGGTAGGCATGACTGAGGGCAGATTATTCAGATTCAACAAACCTGGTATGTTGAAAGAAACACATCTTTCATAATTTCGAGATATGGAAATTACCTCTGTAGTTCTCTAGTATGGAAATTTTATAATATTTAATAGTGAATGTTAAACTTTGCCTTAACTTCTTCCTTAAAACTGCAGCAGACACTGAATGAGAAAACATTCTTTAAGAAAAACATTCCACCTTTAAGAAGTCTAGCAATGGAAATCCCAATGGCACCTCTGGTAACTTTTTTTAGTGAGTAACAGCTATCACTGTTTAAATGAAAAAAAAAAAAAAAAAAAAAAAAAAAAAAAACTTTTTTCTGGTAGTCTGAATTAGTCTTACTGCAGCACTGAGCATCCATGGGCTCTTGTTACATCTTCTTCCCTGCTCTGAAGAGCCCTCTATTATCAAATTTCTCTTTCTTCTGCCGGTACTTACAGATTATGATCATATCACCCATTAACCTTATCTTTGATAAGCTAAATAAATTGAGCTCCTAAGTCCTGCTGTAGAAATCACATTTTTCTAATCCTTTAATTAGTCTGTGGCTCTTCTCTGTGTCCTTTTCTATTTTTCATCTTTTTTTTCTGAAGTGTGGCTTCCAGACTGGAGACCCCAGTGTAGCGGTCACAGGAGCAACAGATACAATGGTCTTACTTCTTTACTAGCCTTTCACAGTGTTGTTTGTATACCTATGTGAAGCTCTTTGGCCCTGGGTGACTGCCTGTCTACCACAATGCTGGTACTATTCCTCAGATACTGCTCCCCATTCTGCTTCTGCTACCTCCTCTTGTAGCTCCTACATGCATGTCCTTATGCTTCACACCACACTGAAACATGCATCTCTGAGCTAAGTGACCCATGCTCTTCATTATTTCATACATCCACAGTTGCTGTGGCACTGGCAACTTTACTGGCAACAATTTTGTTTCCCAGGGTGTTTCTAAAAACCAACCCTGAAAAGCACAGGAATAGTACAGTACCACCTGTTTTTTTCCCTGTGAAGTAAAGCACTGAGACTTCTTACTTATCATCCTATCATCCCGGGTTTCTTTTTTTTTTTTTTTTTTTTTTTTTTCAAACAGTTCTTATCTGCTCAATGCTCTTAATGCTTATAAGGTTGGTTTTGAATAAGTTTTGTTTATTAATCAATATGCCGTGTCATTTCCAGTCAAATGCCTTACGGAAGTCAAAAGATTTTAAAGATTATGGTTACATTTTTCCAGGCATAACTATAACTTGCAAACTCATTTAAGTATTGAATTAGTCCAATATTAATTGAAAAATATATACAAAACAGGTTGAAAATAAATTCATTCTTAAAGAAGCTTTTTTTTTTTTTTATAGCAGATAATGATAAAAGTTTCTGTTAAGGCAGAAAATCTAGCTGCAAATGAATGTTCATATTTCCTTTAATGCTGGTGATGACACTGAGACATAATCCCATAAAACTAAGAGAAATCTCAGATTTCAAAACCTGATTTATATTCCTAAATCTACTATTGACCTGACGCAGGACTTCAGGCAATTCATTAAACCTATGCTGCTACTCACTGTACACAAAAGAAATAGTGATGCTTGTTCAATTTGTAAAATATTTCAATTAAAAATGATACTTTTTTTTTTTTTTTTTTTTTTAACGTTTTTACTTTTTCTTTTCTGACTCCGTATCATACTGCTGCTAATTGCAAGACAGAGAAATCTACTTGTATAGGGAACAGGAGTTTTTTATAGAAATAAACTTCATTATTTTATTTCAAATTAAAGGATAAAAACTTGTAGTAATTCACCGCTTATATTTTTTAAATCACACATAACTTCTCATTTGTGCTTACATACTGTTAATTAGAACTTCTATACTCATCTTTGTTCTACAAATGATTTGAGGGTCTCCCCACCAAAACATAACTCCTCTACAGGGAGAAGTTCCCATTATAGGAACGGCAATTTCAAAAAACAAATGACTATATTTGCAGATTCATTCATTTATTTTAAATAGTAAATGTGCCAATTTGGAACACAGTCAAGAAGTAACATCAGAAAGACTATGTGGATTCCCAGGAATTTTAATATGAATTCCAAACCTGAAGTATGAATCCAAGTCTATCTAAATTTCTTTAACTTTTAGGTTGGACTGACCAATGACACAAACATAAATTCTTGCATTATACTTACTTTATCTTGTTGAAAAAACAAAACTGATAATGACAGTAACAAAAACCACAATTGTATGAATAGGAAGCCATATCGAACAGGAATGTTCTTTACTCCAGGATAACTTCAATGTGCTCAACAAATGAAAAGAAAGGAATAAAGAACTTGACATATGACTTAATAATAGTTAATTATAAGGTAAATTTCAATCTTCAGGAGAAAATTTCTAAGCTCTTCCCACACTACTCATCAGTGCAGTCAGCACTTCCCAAATATATCACCTTCCAGATTTCATTGTGCTATCTGAAACCAAGAGTTTTTATTTGCCTCTCACCAGATGGTCACCACAATGAAGCAACTCAGTATCCTTCCCTTCTATTCTTTGAGCACAAGCAGTCAGGATGCTATACTCCACTACAGGAGTCTCAGCATCATATTACAGAACAGAAATTCCATATTTCAGGT